GGTGTATCTCTAGCAGAGGAAGAAGGAAAGCACACTGTGTGCACCTTAGGTCCTTATCAGTGCCACCAGCAGCACAGCTGCAGCTCAGGGACCCAGAGGAAGGAAACCACATCGATGGACCCAGCTAGAGAATACACGAAAAGATATGGATTACTAAGAGCAGACTAAAACTCATCCGCTGCTCCTTTAAGACAAGAGGAACGGTATGAGTTCCTGCCTACAAACCGTAAGGAGAATGAGGACAGGACTTGATGCTCTGACAATCTATATTCATTAAACCTTAGTTATTACTTAGAGCTTTAGTGATTCATCTCAGCGAACAACATCAAACTCAACAAAGGAGCAAAGTAGCAGCGCCAGCTCTTCCAGCATCTAGGCAGAACACAGATGGTCTCTACTTAATCACTGTGATTTCCCAGAGGCTGCCATTCCTCTATCAGGATATCACTCCTCTTGGAGAGCAAAGGACCGTTAGAAACCCTGGTCACCAGATAAACAGCACTTAGCTGGGCATGGAGGCACGTGTCTATAATCCCAGCTACTTGGGAGGCTGAGGCAGGAGGATCATAAGTTTGAAGCCAGCCTGGGCAAGTTGGCAAGATGCCATCTTAAAATAAAATTTAAATGGGGGAGGGTGCAGCTCAGTAATAGAGTGTTTACCTAGCATGTGCAAGACCTTGGTTTGATCACCAGCACTGCAAAAAAAAGAAAACAACTGCTGGGTGTGGTGGCTCACGCCTGTAATCCCAGCACTTGGGAGGCTGAGGAGAGAGGCTCCCCAGGAGTTCAAAGCCAGCCTCAGATACACAGTGAGTTAGAGGCCAGCCTTACCTACAGAGTGAGACCCTGTGAGTGTGAGTAAATAAATAATAAACAATCAAAACAAACAAAAAGCAGTGTACATTCCTTCCACCTACAATTATTAGCAGCTGCAGAAATAACCAACTTGAAAGGTTAGCAACTATAGTGAGTATAGTCATCACTGTTCCAGGCTACTTTCATCCAGCAACACCAATCCATCTCCCACGCAGGGCATTCCTCCAAAGTCAGAACCGTGCCCACCTCACCAGTGGGTAATCCGAGAGTCCAGGCGACAGATGTGCCACAGTTACAGAGAGTTTAATGGCAAGATAGAAACAAAACTTGAGATCGTAATTCCCACTCTCAACTGTTTTTCTGTACTTACACCATTCTATTTCTCTAAATCTGACCCTAAGACTGGATAACAAATTGGCTTCGATGGACTGTCCTGACTGGTACATCCATGGCACTCTAGGACCACAGACCAAGTGACAGCTCTGTTGGAGGCAGACTTTTTAGTCTGCTCATTCGGAAATGATGACAATGATCGCACATCCCAGGGGCCAGAAGGCCTACGGCATTCATGTTTTCACATGACAGCTATTTCAGTGTATGCCCCTGCCCACACTCATTCTCTCTGGAAGGAGGAGCTACTCAGGCCAGGTGCTGCCGCGTTAACAGGCTGTCCTCTTCCTCGTAACCCGACACTCATAGGCTGACACCCAGCTCCCTCGCTCCAGAGCTGAAGTCAATGCTTCAGAAGTCAAGCCTCATGTCAAGCCTGGGTTTCAGGGCCAGCGAAGCCTAGAGGTCAGCTTGGCAGATGGAATTACACACCACATTCACACTCTCTGAGGGGTTCCAGGAAGGCATGTCATTCCACCTGTTCTACTTTTAGATCTCTACCCACACCTCATACGCGGCACTTGATGACCAACGCAAATGGACTCTCAGACAGGTTGTGGGCAGAGATCCCAAGTACACCTGATGACCTTACTATAAAAAGGGTAAGAGCTGCTAAGGCCCTGGCGCTGAACAACTGGGTTCAAATCCTCATTCAATCCCTTACAGGCATGGTTATCTTTAGTTAACCTCTTTGTGCCTCACACTCTTCATTTAGCAAACAGGGATATTTCTCTTAGGATATGAGGACCAAAAGAAATGTCATGAAATGCCTAGGACAACCTGACCTAGCAAATTAGGAAGTGTTCAGTAAATGTTGTTATTAATAGCATGAGGAAAGAAAAGAGAGGCGCATTATATTTATTCTGTTCTGTATACGACATTTCTTTGTAACTACTGAAGTTACTCTGATTTGATTTTCTAATATGAAATTATAGTATGTTTTTCAAAAATTTTCTCTGTACAGCATTAAGCCTATTTCATGATTACTTTATAAAAACAACAACAAAATCACCAGTATCAGTACTCCCATAGGGAAAAGCCTCAGATTTACAGTCAATGCCACTACCTAGCAATTCAGGAAGAGCTCACTCGTTCACAGGCCTCCACAGTGGTGTAAACAAGGTGACTCAACCTCGGGGAAGTTTGCCAGCCAGCATGAACTTCAAAATGAACCTAAGAGTCATGGTATTAGTGGTATAACTTGATTTAAAGCAGAAGGCACTTGGTTGTTTTGCTTTTTTTGTACCAGAGAAGGAACTCAGGACCTTGTGCTTGCAAGGCAGGCACAGTGCCACTGAGCTAAATCCCTGGCACAGGGACTTGGTATTGTGAAAAAGAGTACAGCTGGACAAAATTAGAAAAGAGGTCACCCCAAGTAGAAAGAATGAAAATCAATAAAGAATTTTTTAAAAAATTAAGTCCAAGACATAAGACTATCACCAGAGCAATCTTCCTAAAAACAAATGTAAATAATTTCTCTAGGTCACTCACTTGCCAAAAATTAGAACATACTCCCACAGCCTAGAGGTGATAGGGAGAATGTGTCAAGGTCAAGGAGCCCCTACCTACCTTTCCATTCTTGCTGTCATCAGGCTGGATGGTTTCCTTATCTGTTCCAGGGAGAAACCAACCATGTTCACTTCAGGTGTGTCCACAGCGCCTATCACAGGACCCAGCACACCGCAGGTGCTCAGAAAATGTTGGCTGATTCAACAGAAATGTGAATGCTTTCAGGCCCTTACGCTGTACCCTGCTCCCGCTCACCTGACCAGCCTGTTAGGTGAGTGGCACTGTTCAAAGCCCCACCGCATCCATGCACTGTGCTAACCACAGCACCAGAACATCTGCTCCTGCCGTTCTCACCTCCTGTTCCCACCGAATTCCATCCCTCCAGATCTCTACCACCCAGCATTCCTTGTTGATATGTTTTACCTGCCCCACTAACTTGGCAGGGACTGAGGAAGGCAAAAATTAACAATTTATGGCCAGGTAGACCTAGTTATGCTGCTCTGAGAAAAATGTATGCTAAATGCTTGGAAAAAAAGGGGGGGTGCTGGGGATTTAGCTCAGTGGTGCCACCCCCTACCTTGCAAGCGCAAGGACTCCAGATCCCAGTTCAATCCCCAGTACCAATAAAACAATAGTGCTTGGAACAGGGCCACAGACAGTATGTACTATCTTATGACAGTTCCACCACTGTTCATCTCTTCAGGGCCTTGGGTCTTTCACTGACGAAATGGGTGACAAGAAATCCTCTAAACTGGACACGGTGGCACCCCTAGAACCCCATGTAATCCCAGCTATTTGGGAACTAAGGTAGGAGGATGGCAAACTCAAGGCCAGCCTGGGCCACTTCATGAGACTGTCTTAAAATAAAAAGTCAAAAGGGCTGGGGATGTAGCTTAGTGATAGGACACCCCTAGATTTGATTTCCACTATTGAAAAAAAAAAAAAAGAAGTCCTCTGCTAGGTGCCTTTCCATGAGGAGTAGGAGCATCTGAAGTCTCTAGGACCTTTCTTAGCTCACAGGACTCAGTCAAAAGCTCCAGTCAAGAGCCCCCTGGAAGCTCCTATCAGAGAGCTCCATGTGGGTGCATAGAAGATACCCAATAAAGGTCTACAGAGCTGGCATGTAGAATGACCCTGCAGTCCGAGGTACTTTGGAGGCCAAGGCAGGACTGCTTTTAAAAAAAGCAAAATAATCATACCACAGTGATATATGTGCACCCATGTTTATAGTGGCACAGTTTGTAATAGCTACAACTTGGAAACAGCCCATCTGCCCATCAGTTGGAAACTGGATAAAGAAGATGTGGTTTTTTTATAAAATGGAATACTACTCAGCCATAAGGAATGAGAAATCAGATTCATTCATAGGTAAATGGGTACATTTTGAGGATATGCTCCTAAGTGAAATAAATAATTCACACATATGCAAATACCGAATAGTTTCTCTGGTGTGAAAAACTAAAATAGTACTCAAGATCCTAATGGGACAATTAGCAACGTGAAATAGGAAGAAAAGGACCAAAGGTGTAGGGACAGTGAGAAGGATAGGTAAAGGGGAATGAGGGAAAAGGAAAAATATATGAGAAAATGTAAAAATGGAATTAAAGTGTTTGAAGGTGGGGAGGGGAGGAGGGGGTGAAGGGAGGGTGGGGAAAAGGGGAAAAAATGAAAACCAAGACCTGGCATGTAAAGGTACAAGATCCCAGTAATGAATGCAACTGTGCTGTCTACCTAGAATGTACCAATAAATTCAATTTAAAATAAAAAAATTTTTAAAAAAGCAAAATAAAACAGTGGATGTAGGGAGCTGAAGGAGCAATTGAGAGAAATGTATCCTAGTATCAATTCAGATGGAAACTTTTCCAGTCATCTACTCAATGAATATTTACCGGGCTTACTCTTAACGTACCAGGCTTCTCTGGGTCTGCATACAACAGTAAACACAGTCCTTGCCTTTAAAGGGAAAGCAGACAATCAGAGAGACAAGTGAATAGAAGCTTGGAGTTAAATGCTATGAAGAAGAAAAAGTAAGCAAACGAGGGCCAGCTAGGGGGTCGGCCAAGAGCTGCGGGAGGAAGACCTGAATACTCGGGGAGCTGTGTGATGAGACCCAACCTCAGTTACACACACTGTACCCCCTTTCTGCTGTCTCCGGTGCCAGACACCTGGCTCCTACTTCCCTTCTCAGCTCAGACCATGCTGGAACTCTGCTGAGCCAGCAACCATGTACATGTTTTTACTGGCCACTCGAGCCCCATAGGGAAGTAAAGAGATTATAGCCCTACCGCGACTGGTCTGTTCCCCAGGAAGTTCAGATCACTGTTCTCGCCAAACAGGTAACCCTCGGGGTGTGTTGAGTCAAACTTCTCTCCTCCCATGATGAAGTGGCTGGCAAAATAACTGCCTAGAGAAGGACAAACAGGAAAGAAAAAAAATCAAACATGCAGAAAGCAGTCAGACTGAACCAAGCAAAAAAGCTGATTTTTAAAAAGAAATCAGGTATGGTGGCGCATGCCCGTAATCCTAGTACTTGGAAGGCTGAGTCAGGAGGATCACTGTAAGTTCCAGGCCAGCCCAGTTTGGCCTACACAGAGACCCTGTCTCAAAAAACCTGAATGAATGAATGGAATGAATGAAAAGTTAACCTTAAATAAGTAATTAGAACAATTTCTAACCCCAGGGTTGTTCTCCTTTACTGATTTGGGAATAAATAAAAAAAAATCATAGCAGGGAAGAATCCAAGATAACAAACATAAATTATATCATTGTTTTTCTTTTAAGGTTCTTGAGTCTTTACCATAATCTGTCCAAAAATATCATCAGCCAAAAGACCAGAAGTCCCCATAATGCCCATTAATAAATACAGACATGCATTTTCCCCCTGACTTCTCCCTTTAAATGCAAAGTGATGAATCCATGTATTCGGGTCTTACCTACAGGTATTAGCATGTTTACACACACAGATCATCTTTGCTTAAATGCCAGCTTGTACCAACACACAGAAGTCTCAGTAGCCACCTACTGCTACTTCTGTGTCTCCAGAATCCTCTATGATGAAGGGTCTTCACCCTTTAACTTGCTACAGAATCTGGCTGCTTCTTAGGAAAACAGGAATTTAAATTACATAGCTCTCCCTGGCTTTACCTACCATTTACCAGGGGAGAGTTCAGTGCTCTGGAAGGAGAGCCACACACACTCGCTCAGCCTCACGTTCCTTAACGGAGCTAAGAACCAGGGCTGCAGGGACATCAGCTGAGGCAGGCCCTCTCCACCCCACCCTCACCAACCGGGGGCAGGGACATTTTCCCCGCAATAAAGAGGTGAAATCAGCGGCAGGGGTTAGAATTCCCCTCAGCCTCATCCAGACAGACCAAGGAACTGTCCCAAAATGTGATGGCACTGATAAGTCACCAGAGGAGGCTTAGGGACACTGACAGTTCCACCTAGGGAAACATTTTAACTTGATGACTGCACAAATATCTCTTACTCCAAATTTCTATCATCTGATTCTAAGGTAAGCTGTCCAAAGGAAAGGGATCACACCTTAATCAACTTTCTCAATGCTCTCGTACATCCCAACTCTCCAGCTAATACAAAGACCTTACGAAACCACAACAGGCTTATTTATGTGTTATGCAGCTAGCATATTCTAAACTTCTTTCAACCATTTTTGGGGCCAGGGATTTAGCTCAGCAGTTCCGCCGCCTGCCTTGCAAGCGCAAGGACTCGAGTTTGATCCCCGGTAAAAAAACAAATTTTTTTTTGTTGAAGATTTACAACAAACAGAACAAAATGGTGTTCAGTACTTTCAGCCTGTGGAGAAGCCAGAGGAGAAGAGAAGACAATTCTAACAGAAAAACTGAGGGCTGGGGATTTAGCTCAGTCGTTCCACCAACTCCTTCGCAAGTGCAAGGTCCGGAGTTCAACCCCCAGTACCAAAAAAAAGAAAGACTGAATCAAACATTCGTTTTCTTTTTTATTTTCAACATGTGGAGCTTTACTTTAGAAACACATAATAAAACAACATGGATCAGATCACTCACCACACAGTGAGGCAATTCTTGAATTAACGATCAGGAAAACATTCTTTGGGAGTGATGGCAGCGCAAATCAAAGCCGCCACTGAGGAATTCTTGAAAGTTACCCATCAAAACTTAATACAAAGAGCAGCCATCTGCAGTGACACAGCATGCAATTCATCACTTAGGAAAGCTTCAGAATCAATTATTTATGTCTTGCACTTGTTATCCCTATTTTCCAAGTGCATAATTTATAGAGGGGGCAGTGCCTACTTGCCTTCAGTTTTGTTGTCTTTTAACACAGCCTTCTCAAACAACCTAAGCCATTTACTGTTGAACCTTAGACTATATCTCCTGTACATTAGGGAATATATATTTACGGTACATTACATAAAGTTAGAAAAGTTGACAATTTTCCATCAATAGGTAGCTTGCTTCGTGATGAATAGGCATAGAGGGAAGCGGTTTTGGGTTAGCAGCTTGAGTTCAGGGTAGGACTAATGAGTTTCCAGTACCTGTGGGCGGTTGGGTGAGAGACCTGAGGGAAGAAATCCACAGGCAACTAGCTTAGAGTGGCAGTGACTGAACCTAGCAAAGGACATGCTCAAGTCCCTACAGATATGTCATATTATTTGCATATAACCTAGGCACATCTTCCCATATACTTTATTTTTTATTTTGTGCTTCTTCTGAGACAGGCTCTTGCTCTGTTGCCTTGAACTCACTATGGAGCCCAGGCTGGCTTTGAACTTGTGACAATCCTCCCACCTCAGCCTCCCAAGTACTGGGGTTACTGGTGTGCACCACAATGCCCGACTTCTTGTATACTTTATATGACCTCTAGGTTACTCATACTACCTAATACAATACAATGCCATGCAAATAGTTGTTATATTGTTTAGGGAATAAACATAAAAAATTTGTACTTTTTTGTTCAGTATAGACACAATTGTTTTTCTTGAATACTCTTGATCCACAGTTAGATGAATCTGCAGGTGCAGAACCCATGCATATATATTGGAAGGCTATTTTGAGAACTGATAAGTACCGTAAGGGGAAAGTATGAAGCACTTATCATACTTCTCCTATATGAGCTGTACTTCTGTGTGAATGACCAATTAACAGATGAGGGGAGTCTCTCTCTATAGTGTACTCCAACTAATAAACACAGAAGGACTATCAATTATTCAGTACACCCCTTAACAAATTAATGAATCATCAATCACCAATTCAATGACCAGATATGAGCCTAGTGATGGAAAATACAACAAAGTCACATTGCCAAGTATGGACACTTTTAAAGCTTTCAGAAAACAAATTTGATCAAACAGAGGATTCTAACCACCAATTCACAGGAAATAGAACAGAATATGATTAATGATAGTTCAGGGAGGCAATCATAAAAATTCAGTTTGGGGAAAACTACTAGGTAAATGAACAAGTTTCCTCAACAAATATATAAGAAAGTATGATTTAAAAAATAATAATAATAAGATAAGGGGGCCAGGGATTTAGCTCAGAGGTTCTGCTGCCTGCCTTGTAAATGCAAGGACCCAAGTTCAATCCCCAGTACCACCCCCCCAAAAAAGGTAATGGCCAGGCATGGTGGTACACACCTGTAAGCCCAGCACTTGGGAGGCTGAGGTAGTAGGATTGCCATGAGTTCAAGGCCAGCCTAAGATACATAGTGAGTTCAAGGTAGTCTGAACTACCTAATGAGACCTTGTCTGAAATCCCCCCCCCCAAAAAAAAAGATAAATAGCTGAGCATCACAGAGCCTGCCTATAATCCCAGCACTTAGGAAGCTGAGGCACAAGAATTGCTGCAAGATTGAGGCCAGCCTGAACTACCATGAGAGCCTGTCCCAAAACAAACAAAAAATAAGACTGATGTTTAAATGCAAATTTAAAAAAAAATTTTTTTTGGTACCAGGGATTGAACTCAGGACCTTGTGCTTGTGAGGCAGGCGGCAAAACCATTGAGCTAAATCCCCAACCCTAATACAAATAAAAATTTATTATAGTAAAAGAAACATTGCTGAAAATCCTCCTGAAATTGCACCTCCCTGCTTTGAATATACTTCTCCCATCATTGTGCCACCTTCTGAACCAGTTCTGAAAGTGTTCCTTTGTGTCTTTCTGTGGCTGCCTTGATGTCCTGAATCAACTCAAAATGTTCATAGCAATTCCGTCAAATAATAACATTATAGTGAGTCCTCATCTGGCAGATCTGGCCCTATGCTACTTCTGGCTCTTCCCCCAAAGTCAAAATGACCATGAGAGGGACATATTTTGAACCAATTAGGAACACTGAGAAAGCCACAATAGTGCAACCTGAAAGGAGAGAAAATACTACAACAGAAAACCCAAAGTGCTTTACCTCCACATATCGAATAGTATGCAATCAGTAAAGACAAGGACCTTCTTGGTCCCAGCTAGAATTGTTCAAGCTTCTTTGTTGGTTCTTCTAAAATAACTGTTGAGAAATAATATACAAGGAAATTGTGGCCATTAAAAGCGTATTGGTTCACAGAAACATTATTCACAATGGTCAAAGGTAGAAATAAACTGGGTGTAGTGGGGCATGCCTGTAATCTCAGCACTTGGGAGACTGAGGCAGGTGGATCACTGCAAATCTGAAGCCAGCCTGGGCTACATAGTGAGGTCAAGGCCAGCCTGAATTACAGAGCAAGACAATGTCAAAAAAAAATAAAAAGAGGGGTAGAAATAATTAGAGCCTATCAACCAATGAATGGATGAACAAATGTAAAATATCCAGACACTGGAATATTATGCGTCCATAAAAAGGAATGAAGTACTCATTTGCACTATAGCGTGGAAGACGCTTGGAAATGTCAAACTGAGTGAAAGAAGCCAGACCCAAAAGGTCAGAGTATATGATTCCATGTACATGAAATGTCCAGATTTAGAAAAGCCATAGGGGGAGAAAGTAGCAGAGGCAGGGGAAAATGCGAATTAACTGCTTAAGAAGTACCTGATTTTATTTTGAGGTGATGAAATGATTAGAGTGGTATTTGTACAACACTGAGAATGTAAAAATGCTACTGAATTATTCATTTAAAAATGGTTAATTTTAGCTGGGTGTGGCGGCGCACGCCTGTTATCCCAGCACTTGGGAGGTTGAGACAGGAGGATTGCTGTGAGTTTGACACCAGCCTGGGCTACATAGTGAGTTCCAGGTCAGTCTCAACTACATAGTGAGACCCTGTCTCAAAAAAACAAAACAAAACAAAAAAAACAACAACAACAAAAAATGGTTAATTTTAGGGTGGGGATTTAACTCAGGGGTACCACACCTGCTTCACAAGCACAAGGTCCTGAGTTTGATCGGTAGTACCAAGAAAGAAAAAAGGTTAATTTTAGCT